TCTCTTCCTTTTCATACACAAAAAGGAAAAAAAGGAATGAGGTGTTCTTTATTTTCACACTGGAAGGCAGCATACACAGCGGCAACGTGAGGTCAGCCGGCTGACAGCAGGCATCTAGGCCTTGTGATCCGACGGCCCTCCTTGCTGCCTCTACACCACGGGGGCACCAAGTTCCCGGATCCACCTTGCGTGGGGCCAAGACTTGTGCTGGAAAACTGGTGTGGCACCCACGGCCATGCCGGGGAGGGCTCTGCAGCTTTCCTGGCCAATGAACAGACCCTGAATCCCAGAGCTCGGGTGAGTGCAGGACCTACTATCTCCGGGACATCGGAAATACAAAAGAGGAGGTTCCGGTTCAAGCAGGTGACGTAGGAAATGCTCAACTCACCTCCCCCCACGGACACGCCGAATCTACAGCTATACACGGAACAATTCCCCCTGAAAAAACTCTTAATGACTGGCGGAGCGACGCCTTCACACTGGGCAAGCGAGAGGAAAACGACTGAAGTGAGTGGAAAGACTGAGACCCGATCTCACCATGGATCCCAGCCCTGGCGTGGTGACCCACCACCAGGAGGGAACGCAAACCCCAGCTGGGCTTTCCCTGCCACACTGGACCGGCACCACAGCCGTCAGCCACTCCCATCTGCAGGAACCTGAGACTTAAGGCTACTGGCTAAGAAATGCGCATGGGGGTGTCCGTTGGTAGTGTCAATTCAGGATAAAAGGGCAGACGGAATGCTGACAAAATCAAGACAAGAATCGGCGACAGGTCCTTGAAGGAGGAAGACCCTGAGTCACACATGGAGTGGCTGGTGCTGGGTCAGCACAGCCTCACCCAAGGGCAGACTGCAGCCATCTCCACCTCCAGCAGGATTTTCTTGGACACAAAAGCAGGCTATTTGCTACCAACTTTCAAAGCCTCTCTGAGCGGGAGGGATAGTGCACAGGGAGAGGCCTCTGTCTTCTTGGGAAATCTCCAAGCTCAGGGTCTGGCTGCTTTCAGGCTGCCTGGACGTGACACCTGCTCGCCGCCAGGCCCGACAGCTGCCCTCTCCGCCATACAGCTCCCTGTCTACTGCCGGAGTGCTGAGGCCGCTGGGTGTGGGTCTGCTCTCGGGGCGCTGCTGCGAGCGGCTGATGGGGGGCTGGTACTGGGAGCCTCCAGGGCTGCCTCGATCATCACATACCCACTAGCGCCCAGCCAGGCTGCCTGTGTACGGTCCACGTCAGCCTATGACAAGTAGGACAGCCTATCTTCACAAACACCCTGTCCGTTGGGGGCTGAGCACCACCGGCCCTCAGCAGCGGGGCTCCTTCTAGCTGGAGCTCACTGTGGCTCCAGAGGGCAGAGAGCTGGCATAGCTCTTGGGTGCGGGGAGAGGGGGGAGGTCACTCCAAGGTGGTCCCAATCTTGGCTTTATGACTGTGTGACTCTGGGTAAGCCCCTTCCTCCTCTGAGACTTCAGTTTTCTCTTCTTCAAACGGGAGGAGGTGGAACCTGTTGGATTCCAGGTCTGCTGGCTTAGAAGGCTGTAAGTTTCGAAGGGCTTGGAGAAGGCGCCTTACGGGGCGCGCCAGCTGGTAAGAGGCGGCTTGCTCTGGGCAGCTCCCTGCCCTCGGCCTTCGCCCCTCACCAGGGAAGATGCAGCAAGAGCACGGCCTGCAGCGCCTTGTCACTCTTGTCACTCTTCGCTCTTCTTCCTCCCGGCCCGACCCGGCCCTAACCTCTGACCTCCTTCTCGCTGCTCTTCCGACCACTGGCTTTCACACCCCCACCCCTCACCCTGGGACTAACAGAATCACAGCATGTCCGTGTGAGAAGCAGCTCAAGAGACCAATCAGTCCGAACCCCACCTGACAGCCGGGGAGGCAAGGGGTCTAGGGGAGAGGAGGCAGGCCAAGGTCACTCAGGCCTACCTCATTTCATTTGCTTTTATCTTTGTCCAAAGTGCAAATAGCATAAATGAAAAAGATAAATACGTATGATGAAACAAACTCTGAGAACTGTAGCTGGTTCTCTCAATCCTCACGTATTTAGGATAAAAGCTGTCCTTCTCCTCCTGCATCTCCCCTTCTCGGGCCATCACGACAGACAACCCAACTACCTGCAAGTGGATGGTGCCCAGAGGGGTCCCCCAGACCCGTGCCAGTCCTGGCTGAGGCCCTGCATTGGGGGAGCTGAGCAAGGTGAGGAGAGGTGGCAGTGTGCGTGCATGGGTGATGCAGTCTCGAAGGCAATGAATAGGGGTGGTTTTCTTTGCAATGGATTTTCAAGCTGTGGGCCACGACCCATTCAGGTTGTGAATCAATTTAGTCATTTCTGACCAACACTAAAAAAACAGAATGGAAACTATCAGTGCAATAGCATACTGCATGTTGTAAGGGTAAGTTTTATGAGGCTCCTGCTTTGACTTGAAGTCTACACATGTACACACCTGGGCAGTCAGGTAAAATGTGTTTCTTATTGTGGGATGCAGGGGAAAATGTCCAAGCAACTGTGTTAGAAGATGTCAAAGGACTAAAAAGTTTGAGAATGACAGGGAGAAGCAAGGCCACAAGGGGGCAGCCTATCTCCTAGTACAGCCATTTCCTTTGGTTGCCAGCGGCATTTTTCTCAGAGATGCTGCGAGACAAAACTCACCCTGTTCACAAGTGACCTTCCTCCTCCCCTTGCTCCGGCAACAGGCGCTTACTGCTAGCTAGGTGGCCTCATACGGCTGATGGCACGTCGCCCTTTCCTGCTGAGATTCTGTTCCTGAGCCTGCGGCCAGGCCAACCGAAGCTGTCTTGAGGCACACACATCTGTCTGTCAACTTGCTCCAGCCTCTGGGGGTGGTCATCTTGGCATCCCTGGGCACCGACCCTGTGCACAGTCTGTGCTCAATAAACGGCTGGATTATGTGCCGCAGGCTACGGTGGTTTCTGTCCCAAATGTCCCCAATGCAGGACATGATGGAGGCCCCACTTAAGAACTGGGTAAGAATAAAGAAGTGGCCCTGGACAGAGCAGACGATGAGGCAGTCCCCAGCATGCAGTCCAGGGGCTCTGTCTGCCTGAATGAGGGGTCTTGGTGGGGTCTCTGCAGCTGGAGTCTATAGTACTTCCTTCTCACAAATCAAAATGCCATCATCTCTTTTTCTTTTAATTACTATAAAACTTTTTCATTTAATTACTGTAGACCGGCCAGGAAGCAGACTCTCTGCTTTTGTAGAATGGCCGGGGAAGGAACGGATGCCCGAGGCCCCTGTGGCCGTGTCTGGCTGACAAACTTCCTCGGAGGGCTCCATCTATTACTCTGCCTCGCTAAGCCCAGCACAGTTAGGAGCGGTGCTCTGCCTCGTCACACAGGCCCTGCAGCCCCCAGGTCAGCCTCCGCCTGTGAACAGTCTGGGAGCTGCAGAGGTCTTCGGCTTATAACGGCACTGTCAATACAGGAGCCGCCAGCCTCACGTGGCTCCTAAAACTCAAATTCATCAAAAGTTTAAAAAACTAAAAATCTGGCTCCTTGGTCTTGCACTAGTCACACTTCAAGTATTCAGTGGCCACGCAGGCTGGTGGCCACTGTGTCTGTCAGACAGCAGTGACACAGGATGCACCTGTCACTGCAGAAGGCTCTATTCAACAGCACGGTTTGGAAGGTTCAGGGGCACCTTTTCATTTTACTATTAAATTCCTAGTTTTTCTTTTAGTCACTGGCTTCCTTTTTTTTTTTTCAGATTTTTATTGGGGAATTGGGGGAAGGGGAACAGACAAGTTGCTGTCGTTTTGTTCTTCAGTCTAGTTGTGGAGGACGCTGCTTCACTGGCCCAAGTTGGCACCATCATTGCGCTCTTCCCGGGCGAGGCAGATCAGATCAGTTGCCGGCTTCTGGACGGCCGCTCACGCTGGTTGCTGGCTACACACAGTAGCCCATGGCAATCCACTGCAGCAGGGGCTGCAGCCTACACCGTCGCTGGTGACTTAAGGCAGTCACTGGCTTCCTTTTTGTCTAAAACCCAAGTGAAGAAGAGCGCTTCTGGTAATCTGATTTCTGATCACTTGTAACTATGGTCTGACACCACACTCAAGCCTGCAGGTCCATCCTCAAAACGAACACTTGGGGGCGCCATGAGCAAGCCACACCCAGCTCACAGCTGTCTGTTGGGCTCCTTTTCAGAGGCTCTTTTAGCTTGTCCTCCACAGCCCCTGTCACTCACCAAGGCCTCGCCTTTAGCCCTTTCTGGCAGCGGTAGTAATTGCCGCATCCCCCGGTAACATCCTAACTCAGGCTCAGGCTCGAGAACATCAGGCGCTTGGGAAAGGTGAGGTCAATTCAGTCTGACTTCCAAGGTAAACCTGCAACTGGCATGGCTGCCACTGTCCTTTTCTTCTTCCCTCAATCTATTCAGAAAATGTTTAAGTATTCTAGGGGAAATCCAAGACATATAACTGGGCACTTGCCCTTAAGAAGTTTACTGTTTTGTTTCAAAGACAAGCAATGCCCTTGAAACAATGAGCATGACAAATTGGCAGATAAGAAAAGGCACTTTGTGAAGCAGCTGAAATAAAATTCTGGTCTCCAAACTGTGAATGGCCCTGCTCCTCCCATCTAACTGCAAGTTTTCCATTGGAGAACTTTCCACTGGAGAACAGTCATGAAAAATGTGGTCATGCTCTGAAAGACACATCACCCCGACCCCCAAGCACCTACATGCAGGCACACAGTTGTGGAGGGTTTTACCCATGGAGTACAAGTGATTGCTAAGAGAAGAGCAAGACCGAGTGAGCGTGTCTGACAAGGGTCAGGCTGGTCAAGCTCCGCCTTATGAACTGGTCCCAAATGACATAGTTGGCTTGTCCCTGGGTAAAGTTCCTCCCTCAAGCTTAAAAGATTCAAAAATGTCACTCTAAAGGGATGTCTTTCCCCCAAAGGTCTCTTTCATAAGGATGGATGCTTTGGCCTATCGCCCCTCCAGTATTTGGGTCAGCCCATTCCTCCATCAGCCCCTGCATCTCCCCACCCACCCATCCATCAGTCTAGAGGTATGTATTCTACAGAGCCTCACGGCTCCTGCCCTCAGGTGACACCTCATTCATTTGTACCAGTTTGGTGGAAAGGAGAGTTTGCAGTAGTTCATTCAAAGACTTGGAAAATCCAGTAGAGGTCTTCAGATCTTTTACCAGGCCCCCCCGGGGATAGCTCCATACTCAGGGTACTACAGGGAAGAGATCCCAGGTGGCTCCTGGGGACACATGTGTTCTTGGACAAGTGAGCTAATCTCTCCAATTTGCTTATTTGCCTGTAAGTGACTAGGATTAGACGACTCTACATGGAAGCATCCAGCCCAGGGTCCAAACCCTAGTAGAGCTGAGTGTTATCTAGTCTCTAGATCCTGGGGCTGCGTCTGGTCCCTGCTCCCAACGCCTGGCACCCTGCCCTCGGGAATACCCACAGGACAGGGCTTGCCCAGCAGGGGGGGCAGAGCACCAGCCCTGGGGGGAGGCAGGCTGGATGGGAGTGCAGCATCAGGGGAGGGAGGCCTGGTGACTCCGCAGGAGGGTAGCCACTTCTGGGAAAGCAGGAACGGAGTCCACATCTCTACCCAGTACCCTTTCCACAGAGCGGGCAGTGGGGCGTCTGACCCAGCAGACATTCCTCCAACTTCTGCCTCACAAATGTTATTTCCCAGAAGTGCCCAAGTGTTTGGATCATGGAGACCAATACCTAGAAATGGAGTCTGATCAAGGTGTTCAATATCTGGGGCATTCCGGAAGTGGAGGGGCTAGGCAGGATGAGCAGGGTGGGGGAGCACTGCCTGCGAGGGGCCCAAGTGGTGTGGCCTTAGGAGGGAGGGCTGCGTCAGGCCCTCTGGCAGACCCATCTGGAACCCATTGGTCTAGCAATGACAGAGACCTGGGTTTGTATCCTGGAAGTGCCACTTACTAGCTGTGTGCACATGGGGCTGTTATTTCGACTACGGTCCTCCGTGTTCTCATCTATAAAAGGGGGTGCCTATTCTGCAGGGCTGCTATGAGGGCCAGTGGCTAACATGTATGTGGAGGCTGCATGCATACACAGAACCCAGGCCACAGCTGGGACTCTGCATTCGTCCAGACCCAAACTGTCCCAGACTCACGGCTAATATATGAAACAATTTTAAGGTACAAACACCATCTTCAGTGGACTGCCAGAGCCAGACCTACTTAATGCTCCCCTCGGTTTACAAATAAAAACCCTCTTGAGACCTGGCAGAAGGGTAAGTCCCCAGCCAGGTGGCAGGAGGTACACAGTATCAGAGCCTCCACTTCCTAGCTTTGACCTTCAAATTAAATGGGTGCAGGCTGGTCATGTGGATTCTTATCTGCAGGAGGGGTTGGGTCTCTATCATCACCAAATAAGAGTTCTTAAAAACTATTCAGCGGAAACCCGGACCACATCAGAGAGGCAGACCCTGCAGCTGAACAAAGCTCATCTCTGGGACTGACAGAGCATCTCTGCCGGTGAGTCATTTGTCATCCTCTGTATAGGTAAGACAGGAACTCCAGGCTGTCGGGGCTCCGATTCCTGCCTGCAGCACAGTTGGATGCAAAATGCCCCAGCTTTAGAGCTCAATTGCTCTCGGTTCGGGTTCCATCTCTGCCATTTGCTGCCGTGAGGGTTAGAGGATTGTGGAAATGACTTGACATGGTCCTGGGCGCAGAGCAAGTGCCTGTAAGCTTGTGGTACTGGCAGTGACGGTGTGATGAGACCCTCCGAAGGAGATAAGGAGAAGCTAGTTCTGTTTTTGTTTCTTTTGTAGTTTATAAGACAGGCTGCTATCTCAGATTATGGTTTACTTTCTTGTCTCAATGTATTGCCACTGTAGAAATTTTGGAAAATATAAAAAATACATAAAGGAGGAAGGGAAATAAATCACCCCTAATTCCACTGGCCAGAAGCAAACTGCTGACAAAATCTGGTCATTTTTCTGTTTTAAAAAATACAGCCAAAATCCTATAGCGGATCACGGATCCTTAAACAAGGGGTCCATAGAGTATGCGGCAGAGGGGGTCGTCAAAAGGGTTCACGAATCCCCAGAATTGCAGGGGTGTGTGTACATATTTCTGAGATAAAGGTCTGTGGCTTTTACAACTCTATAAGGGGTTTATGATCCAAGGTTAACAATCATGACCAATTTTACATCCTTTTTGTCATCTATTCATTCTAATAGTAACAGCCAATACTAACTTTGCATATTTACTTTGTGCCTACACTCTTCTAAGCAATTTAAATGCATTGCATTTTTCACAATATGAAAGCCACTTTCTAAACATTATATTCTATTTATCTCTGAATTATAATTTGCTTACTTACTGTATATATTACTTTTAATTTTTAGAAATCAACATAGAACTTTGGTTATAGATGATAAATGGTTTTGACATTTCTAGAAGGAAAAGTAGTTTTTCATATTCTATCTGCACAGAGCTGTGCAGTGCCAATCTACTAACACACTATTAAAGGTCACTAATTATCACAAAGGCATTTGCACGGGACCTTTGAGGAAACATGTAATGTCAGGATAAGGATGCAGCAACAGCCATAATAGGATTTCTTTAAAAAAGGGCAAAAATAAGTCAAGCAATAATGGAGATTTGACATTACTCTTAAGGAAAGCAAAGCTGCCTGTTTCATATTCTACATGATGAAAAAAAGTTTTTGTCTCTGAGTGAAACAGTAAGACATACACGCCGTCATCTGACCTACTTACCCAGCAGCCCAGAGAGCTGGTAGGGCACGATGCCTACCGGCTGGCCTATCACTCATAGAGAGCTGACGTTTTGTGGTCTGGGAGCAGGGGCTTTTTACTGAGTAGTCACATCCCAAAGGCAAGGTCCTTTGCTGGAGAGAAAGGGCGCTTTGCCCCCAGGAAAAACCGAGATGGCACCCCCAGGGCTGACACCGTTTCCAGTCAGGAAAAGGAAAGTCTCTGAGCAGCTAAGTAAGAAGGTGTCTCCTCTTATATGCCCTCGTCTGGTCGGGCGATATCTGATGTTGCTAAACCGAACGCCTGCTCCTCTTAAAACATCATCTTGAGGTACGAGGTACACGGCACTGGGTCACAGGAAACGACCCACCGTGCGCTGCGGTCCTGCAGGGTGCTGGCCTGGCACTCCAAGGCCGATGCAGCTGCCCCTGCTCCCAGGCCATGGGTCACAGCACCTCTGTGCCCGGCCTGTGGACCTCAGCAGGGTCACAGGGCGGACAAAAGGGTCAAAGGGAAGTGAGGCCATGAACGGCTGGGAGCCCATGGCAAGCAAGGCAGCCGTTTGGGCTTCGCTACAAGTTCACTGCAAGGCCACCCACTGGCCTCGCTGCAGCAACCCACCCACTGGCATCTTCCAATTGATAAAGGAGACCCCTCAGCCCTAAACTGCTAGCCATGAAAGCAAACGCAATGTCCCCGTCGGGGGAAATCTACCTGTGAAGAGGTTGCAGAGGGTGGAGAAGCTTTCAGGAACCGAGGCTCTGACAGTGGGCCACAGTAACTGGGGCAGCTGATAACGGAGAAGGCTGGGGTTGGGGTTGGGGAGGGAGAACTCCCCATACCCTGCTCAGGAAGCCACCTCAGCCAAAGTGCTGGGCAGCCATGTTCTTTTCTGTACCTCGTTTTCCCATAAGCCGTCTTTAAAAATCTATGCAATTGAGGGCAAGAAAAGGTAGGAGGCACGGCCCACCCAAGCACGAGTCCTGGCCATCCCACGCACCTCCTAGTCCCTAGGAGTCCCCTTGATGGTGGACCCCCCTTCTGTCCCTCCTCTCCTCCCCTCCCCCCGAAGGGGAATATGTGCCATAGCTTTCAGCGTGAGCAGTGCAGGGGTCTAACTTAACAGAAAATGGGGCACAGGGTGGGCAGGCACCTGCTGGGAGGCACGGGCAGATGAAGGCGGGCTCTCCCCACGAAACAGCAGTTTCTCTCCCAAAGGGAACTGTCCCCGTTGTACCACATGGCGCCCTTTGATTTCAAAGTCAGCACAGGATTTTATGCAACGTGCGTGGGGTCACGTGTCACCTCACAGATGGGTGAGGTCCTGAGACTTTTAGTGCCAGTGAAGGACTCCGTGTCTAGTCTGAGCAACTTCCCCGTACAACGGGCTGTCTACAGCATACCAGAGTGTGCTGGCGGGGAACAGAACAGCAGGTGGGTTTAGGACGTGATGATTTGCCCCCGAAATGTGGGCAATGGGGCAGGGGGAAGGCAGGAGGGGTGACCCCTCAGCCTCAAACAGAATTCCTGTGTTTTGACTCACAGATGTTCAACAGCACAGATACCATGGCTGAAGACGATTACAAAGACCTCGGGCTCTTCGATACTCCCAATTCCACCATCGAGGAGCGCCAACGCTTCGTGCAGTTCAACAAGTTCTTTCTGCCCTGCATGTACGTGGTGGTGTTCGTCTGTGGCCTGCTGGGCAACTCTCTGGTGCTGGTCATATACATCTTCTACCAGAAGCTAAGGAGCCTGACGGACGTGCTGCTGATGAACCTGCCCCTGGCGGACCTGGTGTTTGTCTGCACGCTGCCCTTCTGGGCCTACGCGGGCATCCATGAATGGGTCTTCGGCGGGGTCATGTGCAAAGCCCTGCTGGGCATCTACACTTTGAACTTCTACACGTCCATGCTCATCCTCACCTGCATCACCATGGACCGCTTCATGGCCGTGGTGCTGCCCACCAAGGCCTACAACCAGCAAGGCAAGCGGATGGGCTGGGGCAAGGCCATCTGTTTATCCACCTGGGTGGTCTCCCTGCTGATGTCCTTGCCGCAGATCATCTATGGCAGCGTCAGTCGCCGCGACAAATCCATCTGTGGTTACCACAATGAGGAGATGTCCACTGTGGTTCTGGCCACCCAGATGAGCCTGGGGTTCTTCCTGCCACTGCTCGCCATGATTGTCTGCTACTCGGTCATAATCAAGACCCTGCTCCACGCCCGAGGCTTTCGGAAGCACAAGTCTCTCAAGATCATCTTCCTGGTGATGGCTGTGTTCCTGCTGACCCAGACACCCTTCAACCTCGTGAAGCTCGTCGGCAGCACAAGGTGGGAGTACCACACCATGATCAGCTTCCACTACGCCATCACAGTGACGGAGGCCATCGCCTACCTGCGGGCCTGCCTCAACCCTGTGCTCTATGCCTTTGTTGGCCTGAAGTTCCGTAGGAACTTCTGGAAACTTGTGAAAGACATTGGCTGCCTCCCCTACCTGGGGTCCGCAAGCCAGGGGAAGTCTTCAGAGGACACTTCCAAGTCGTGTTCCGCCTCCCAGCATGTGGAAGCCACCAGCATGTTCCAGCTGTAGGCCTCGTGGGGCTTGGAGAAGCTGCTCAGATGGCGGCGGCGTCTGGATGCGGCGAGGACGGCTTTGTGTATAGCTTATGCACTCCATGGAGAAGTACCCAAGCGCTGCAGCTGCTGCGGAAAGCTTCGTCGCAGGCAGGAACACATCTGTTCTTTTCATGAACACCCAGGCCTAAAGCTCAAAGGGGAGTCTAAAAACTGTAAGGGCTCTTCTGCCTCCATCCCTGAGAATCCTGGCACCAAGGCAATGACATCTGATTCTAAAGACTTTCGGGTCACCTTATCAGACTGGCACTAGAACTGAAGGTTGAAGAGGGGAGAGTGGCCAACAGAGCTGCGGATGGCAGGTGACACTCTGGGCTCCCAAGTGCAGAAGGTCCTTCTGGCTCCTGGGAGGCAGGGGAGGTGAGAGCAGCCATGAATACAAGTGCTGGCCCATTCGGCTCAGACCTCAATCACCAGGCACCGGACAGAAATAAGATCAGGTTCTGCCTCACCTTGGGGTTTGGCTTTTATGTAGGTAGATGCTGATGTTCTTTCTCTGATTAATCCTGGAAGGACTTAGCACCAGGAAACACGAATGGGCCAAAACAAACGAGTCGGCTGAGGACTGCACCGGTCCACAGACTGCTAGAAAAGGGTGCGCAGCAGAGTCTAAGCCTGTCATGAATCTAAGAGGTGATTCTGAAACATGGGGTCTACTCATTTAAAAACGGAATTATCCTATGCCTGACACACACCCACACACACCAAACAGCATATAATTTTCATGACTAAGAAAGCTGTTTTTAAAAGCCTCCAAACTACTTTTAACCTTAGGCACATTTTATTTTAATGTAGTCCACCTAGAATATACTATAAGTGATCATTTGTGGGCTCATGGCCCAAGAAATAAGTGAAAACTGTAAATGTTCAGGGCACTGCTCGCTCTATCAAGGAAGTAGAACGTACCAGTGAAAACGGCCCAGCTCCTTTGCTGTGGCTTCCAACCTCCTGCCCATGAGGGGAGGTGCATTTGTTTCACCTCCATAATGTGGCCTTGGGATGAGGCAGTTTTAAATGTCAGGCACCTGTGCATGTTCACAGACCCTGACAGTCTGCTCAATAGGCTTAACGTTGCCTTTTTGGCTCATGCATCACAAATCACTCACTGTACTATGGAGAGCCAGCGGATGCCAGGTGATGGCAGTACACGAGGTGGGCCAGGATGGCTCAGGGTTGCAGAGACCAGACCTGAACCCCAGCTCTGCCCCGCACTAGCTGGTAGGACCAGTGGGGAATCTCTTAGCCTCGTTCATTTTGGTGAAACGTGGACCATACCAGCACCCAGCTCTCAGGGCTGGCATGGGGAGGACATGAGATAATGCACACAAAACGTTTAGCACAGTCTGCATTCATGGGCAGAAGGGCTGCAAAACACCAGGAGCTTTGTTCTTACAAGAACTAGTACGACTACTCAGCTTTAAAACAAGATGGAACACTGCCATTTGCGACAACATGGGTGAATCTTGAGAGTATCATGCTAAGCGAAGTCAGTCAGGCAGAAAAGGACATGAATCATGTGATTTCACTTACATGAGGGATATAAAACAGAAAGCAACAAATGAATTAACATAACAAACAAACAAATCTCACTGACACAGACAACGGTACGGTGGTTACCAGACAGGAAGGCGGGTACAGAGAGGTTGAAGACAGTAAAGGGGGCAAAATACATGGTGATGGAAGGAAACTAGACTTTGGGTAGAGAGCACACAATGCAATGGATAGATGATGTATTATAACATTGTACATTTGAAACTTTTATAATCTTAACCAATGTCACCCCAATAAATTTAAAATAAATAAAAAAAGACCTAGCAACACAACACGGAAGCCGTCCACCGCTCTCCGTGTGCTGGTGAGGCCGGGAGGGTCTGCTCCGCGCCTTCCAGAGGCCACGCCCGCCCTGGTCCACAGCACAGGCCGGAGCCTGCCGACGATTTCATAAACATGCCTCAATGCACCCACGACGAAAGTGACTTTACTGTACTCAGGCTGCAAGGGCCGCCCAGCACATCCTCCAACAACAAAATCTGCCCTTCTCCTGGTGACAAGGCTTTCATCATTTTAAAATCGGCTTCTAAAGGGATCTTCTGTCATCTCCTTTTGTGCGTTCACCCCAATGTTCGGTCCTTCTGACAGAGGGCACTAGCCCCTGACTTCCCTGACAGTGACCCTTCCTGGGCGGAGGCCCTAACTGGGAAAGACGGGAGGAGCGGGGGAGCCGGAGCGCCAGGGCTGCACGTCACACGTCCCCAGAGGGAAGCAGTGTGCTGTGACGGGAAGAGCAGGAGGCCGGGCCACGCACACCGGCTCAGTGAGAGCTGCACCTGTGTGTGTCCTTGGGCGGGCCGCTCAACCTCCCCCAGCCCATTTCGCTGCCCACACGGCTAATGACTGCCGTCCCTCCCAGAGTGCTGAGGAGGCATGGACAGTGCACTGAGCGTCAAGCTGGGGGCTGCCTGGCCATGGCAACGGAGGGACCACTGGCTTCTGCCTGACTAGGCGCCTGCCGGCTGAGTCAAACAAGACCGGGCACCCGTCAGGCCATGCCCCATCCCGGCCTGTTCGCTATGCCTTCTCTCCAGGCTCCCTGCAGAAAGGTTTTTCGCTGGCCCTTCCACAGCTTAGGAAAACGCGCCCGCCTGTTCCCAGGAAGAGCCTGGGGGCTGACTCTTCCTTCACCTTCTCCTCCTCCTCAGTCACTCACTGGTCCTACACAACCTGGGTCCTTACCCGCTACACCTAGGAGTAGATATGACTTTACAACCCCTCCCCTGGGTACACACCTTTACTGGCAACAGACACTGGCACAGCCCATGTCGGTCACAGAGGGCTTTTGCATCGTGACTTCACACAACAGCCCAACAAGGACAAGTTCCCAGCCTCAGACCAGCTCTTCTCCTGTCTTGGCTCTCCCCTCTGCTCACACATACCGAGGTGTAAGGGGCCTGAGGTGCAGGGGGAGGGTTGGGGGAGGGGGCCAGGCTGGGTGTGGACCCTGGCTCGCTCCAATCCAGTCTGCCTCGGGTGTGGCCTCAGGGTCTGGGGGTGAGGAACGTGCTCCTCCCCGACCCCAACATGTCCCTAGTACTTGGTGGTGGGGGTGGTTAGGGGCCATGGGTGGCCACATTGTCCAATGTAAACACAGGGTGACACTGATTCCAGAGGCGACCTGGGAGAACCCCAGGTGATCTCCGTGAGCATCTTGCACTGTGGAAATGGTGCTGTGGGAGAGAAAACCCTGAAGCGGCCCCAGCTAGAGGGGTGGCGGCAGAGCAGAAAGCACAGGCCCGGGGTGGTCAGGGCTCTCGCTCCAGCCTCCCCCTGCAAGGGGCTGTCAAGGCAGCGCCCTCATCCATGTGTCGTCCTCTGAGCTCCGAGCTGCCAACGCTGTTGTGCAGGAGGCCTAGCACTATCGTTCCGTTTTCAGATGAGGAAACTGAGCGACTACCTCCTGCCAAAGTTCACAGTCACAGCAGAGCTGCGGTTAAGGACTCAGCGAAGAGCCTTTTTCTGCCCAGAAATGCTGGGTAAGAGGGGCCCCAGGCACCTGCCAGCTCTGCACTCATCTGAAGGTGTAAACGTTAACCCAAGCACAAGGTGGCTTTCTAACCTTAACCATTATTACCATATCCTGTTTGCGTTTCATTTCTGAGATACCAGGCATCAAATCTCCTGGTCGGTAACAAAACCACCACAGCTTCCCCAAAGCATTCTGACCACAAAGCACCAATTCTAGAAAAATTCCTGGTAAAGATGCTCTGTGGGTTGGGGACAATCTGTGTGTGTGTGAGTGTCAGCTTGGGGACAGTCTGTGTGTGAGTATTAGCTCAGCAGCATCTGGGCATCTGGAATGATTTTTCTTGGGAGATAAATGGGTTTCTGGGTGCAAAGTACTGAGCACACAGCAGCAGACAGGCACAGCTCAGCCCTACATATCACAGTGCAGGTAAAATACCATGAAAGACACCGCACCTCCACAGGAGGCCTCCCGGGTGCAGGCACTGAGCTGTACTTCATACATTTCATTCTCTTCTAATCCTTCCAAGAGCCCTAGTGGGGGTGGGTGCTGCCCGCCTCCTCTGTATAGGGGAGGGACCTGAGTTCAGGGGGCACAGGGCCCAAAGCCATGCAGCCCAGTGATTCCGGAGCTCTAGCTCTTCACCACCAGACAATCTCTGTCCGGTCATCAGGAGCGGAGGCCTGGCCTTGAGGAGGCCATGATGGGTGGGAGCTGAGCAGAGGCCAAGGGATCCTGGGCCCAGTCCTGCTCTTTGCTGACTGCGTTTCCCTTCCTTTCTGCCTGCCACCTCAGTCCTGAGACCAGTCGGCTGAGGCGGGCCTGGATGACATGTGTGAGGTACACAGGTACACAGTCATGTCTGGAGGGTTCTGAAGAGTGTCATCTTTTCACCTGAGGTGAGGGGCTGTGTTCCCGCCTCACATCACCACTCTAGCCCTGAGCCACGTTTGGGGGTGGGGTGGGGAAGCATGGGGCGGCATGAGGACAGCTGGGAGGTTGCTCCGGAGTCTGCAGCATCCTGCCAGGTCTCCCTGAAAGCCTGGACTTGGGGATCTCTTCCCGTCCCATCACTGCTAGGAGGGGCAAGGCAGACAACTTCGTTAGCCTTACGAATATACACGAGCAGGGGGTGGACAT